AATAAATTACTTTTTTCTTGGTGCTTTCAAGACACTTAGGCTTTAATGGTTTAATTATAATGTGTTTTAGTATGAATCTCTTTGAACTTATCATAACTGGAATTTGGTGAGTTTCTTGAATGTGTACATTTATGTCTGTCACTAAATTTGGGGAATTTTCAGCCATTATTTCTTCAGCTATTCTTTTTGCCCCCCATTTTCTTTCTTTTCTTCTTGGACTTCTATTATGTGTATGTTGGTAAGCTTGATCATCTGTCAAGTTCTGTCCCCATTTCCTCTTTTCTTTTTTTTTTCCTGCTCTCCAAACTGGATAATTTCAATTTATTTAGCTTAAAGCTCACTGACTCTGCATGCTCAAATCTTGTGTTATGCCCTTCCAGTGAATTTTTTTTATTTTAAGTGTTATAATTTTCTGCTCTAAATTATGTGTTTCCTATTTATGGTTTTTATCTCTACATTGATATTCTCTACACTGTTCTTTGTCTGTGGCTAAGGGGATTTCTTGGTGCCAAGTTATGTTAGCCTAGGGATGGAATGACCCTGGTAAAATGCTTCTTACATTTTTCTCTGCAGTCATCCTGGGTTTTTGTGATTTACTGGGTTCTGCAGTTTCTTAATTGTACCTCAGAGTCTTCCCAGAGCGATTTTAGTCTGTAAGTAGTTGTTAAATTATTGTTTTTGTGGAGATCTAGGGTTAGACCTTCTAGTCAGCCACCTTGCTGATGTCCCTATTTATATCTTCTTTATTATATTCTTCTTCTTATATAAAATATACTTTTTATCTTTATATTTTATATTTATGCTAGAGGCCTGGTGCACAAAATTCATGCACTGGGGGGTCCCCTCAGCCCAGCCTGCACCCTCTCTCTGGGACCCCCCCTTGGGGGATGTCTGACATCCATCTCACAATCCTGGACCGCTGGCTCCTTAATCACTCACCTGCCTGCCTGCCTGGTCGCCCCTAACTGACCACCCCCCCCTGCTGGCCTGACTGCCCCTCCTGCGTGCCAGCCTGGTCACCCCTAACTGCCCCCCTTGCCAGCCTGGTCACCCCTAACTGCCCCCTGCTGCCGGCCAGGTCGCTCCTAACTGCCCCCCCACTGGCCTGGTCACCCCCAACTGCCCCCCCACTGGCCAAATTGCC